AAAAAAGTTCCTCACAGCACAAAGGAAACAGCACCATCACAATCCCACCAGGGTGGGCAATATCCACCCTCAGTACAGTCCCATCCTCTCCCTCACCATAAAAATCCCCATTACTGATCCAGTCCCAAGCAATGGCTGGTCTGAGCTTTGCCTTTTACTTTACTGGTCACTGTTTTAACTTCAAATTTCCCTAATAGTGTGTAATCACCCTGGCTTTGTCTCAGCCCACAAGATTTTAAATCGTATTTTCTCCCCCATTGTTGAGAAGGGGGGTGAGAGCAGCTGGGTGGGCATTTGGCCAGCCCACCAGGGTGCCACTGCTCTTCTCCGCAGAGAATTCCACAGGGAATCCCTCTGGGCACATCAATCAGCAAATACAAGCTGAAGACCTCAAGAGGTGGTGAATGCAAGCACCTCTATTATGTAAGAACTTCCTGGATAGGCTAATGTTTCAAATAACAATTTGAAGTCGACCTGCATTCAAAGCTTTACTAAAAACCTCTCAAAGATTCCCAAACTGAGCAACTTCCAGGTGTGCAAAATATTGATGGTGGCTTATGGTGCCAATGTGCCAAGGGCTGGGAAACAGCCAATTTATTGGCATGGATCAAGTATCCCTGAAAACCAGGCTTCTTCCAGCACCAGGATGCTGGCTGCGGTGGCAAGACAGCAATCCCAGTCCTCTGGAACTTCCCTCAGAAGCCAGGTTAACAATTTTTTTTGTAAATTATTAATCTAAAGCAATTTGTTGTTGTTGTTGTTGTTGTTTCCTGCTCTGGTTATGTTTTAGTAGCCAAATATATTTTCCTTCCAGAGAAGAGTTGGGAATCCAGGAACCTGCAGCCAGGGGAGGCAGCAATTAGTGGTTTGAAATGTTAATGGGACCACAGTGGGAACTGGAAGTCCCTTGAACTCAGCTATTAGCAAATTAATAAAAGGGGTAATGCGCTCTCCTGAGTGTTACAAATTTAGCACTAATTAGGACTTCTCTTTCTTAGCTATTTTAGGCAAGAAAATCTTCAATATCCTTTGTTAAGTCTTAATCATCTTGTTTGTAGAAGTAAATAGTATGGAAACATTGGTTTCTCCACCCAGCTGCAGTCTATTAAACTTTTTCCATTCTCCTTTTCCTTGTGACATGACTTATAGCTAGGTATTTTGTAATCAGTTAGCTTTATTTATCAACTCTTACCCCAGAGAAAGGTTTTCTTTGACTAAGACTAACCTACAGGCCATTAATTTGTCACAGTCCATCCGTAACTTCTCAAAGATCCCCCTTCACAGGAACATCAGTGGTCCAATTTATTTATATGTGTTTTATGTATTTATTGCTCATACATTCCAGATGTTAAACCTCATGGAGTTCTTGTAACTGGCAAGCATCTCTTTCTGCCAGAGATCTACACATGTAGATCTTTGTGTATTTTAACACTTGGGAATTAATCACGAGAGAAACTTAATCAAGTTTGCAATGATGAAAAGCCCTTAATTAGAGCAGAAGCCAAAATGTCCTCCTGCTCTTCTTGCACTGCCCAAATCTCATCGAAACCTTGCCTGAAGACCAGAAAACAAATCTCACAGTTGATTGGATATATCTAATTGTGAATTGATGTCTATGCTTTTGCAGATATGTTTCAAATCTTGCCTGGCGGCTGCGTTGGCCAATTTGCCCATACTGAGGAAATTAATTCATTTTTAACTACAGAGCAAAGCTGTGATGTTGGGCAATATATGTCTGCCTTTCTACAAAGAATATTACTTGTCTCTAGCAAAATCAGTGCATTGCTAAATGATTGACAGAACCACAAAAGATTTAGCTTTTAATGTTTAGGAAACACTGATGGAGAAGAGAAAGCCCTACAGGCTGGCTGAGGCAGAACAAACTCACTTCCATTCAGCAAAAACCATAATTGAGCATTAAAGAGGAAATGGAGATGGAAGGTTGCATCTTCAGTGATGCCACTAAGTAAAAAGAGCATGTTAGAAGTAATCAGTGGGGAGCTCATGGTTTAAAACACACATGTACATGTGCACACCACCAGCAGTGCTGAGAACTGAAGCAGGCACTGTCTGAACACACACCATAAAGCCTGAGAAATACTGGACCCTGTCAAGGTGGCTTTCATAAATTAATGCAAGGTGATGTTAAAATCTGTATGTTACAATCGATTAGAAAGGGTAGTTTGGCAGCAGGATTAATAACCTCTGAAACAAATGTAGCATGACAAGGAAGATTCCATGACCAGAGCTCAGCTCAGAAGACTGTTTCATGTCCAGAAAAACTGAATGAAGACTGTTCCTAGTTAGCCTGTGGAGGGAAACACAAAATACAGTAATTTCTGTTTACTTCTGCTAAACAGCTGGTCAGAGAGTATTTTCTGCGCTGTGTGAGCCTAAAGCAAGTGTTATTTTTACTTTTCTCTATTGCATGAGATAGGGTGAAAGTGGTGTTCACTGAGGTGACACTGTGACATCCTGTCTGCCTTTAGGGCTCTAAATACTAACAGTGACTGAGTCCTATTGTGGGAATAAGATGTGTGAGCCTGTGAGCTGGGCAGCACACAGATAAATTCCAGATGATGATTTAATGCTGGTGAATGCAAGTCTTACAGTCCTGCAAGCAGCCTGGTACTGGAGAGGACCTTTGAGGTCAATTCATTTCCCTTCTGTCACAGGCAGCCCTCTGAAAGAAGCTGCATGATAAAGCGACCCAGCTCCATTACAAAGTTAATTTTTTTGCCACCATTTCTACTACTGTAATGGTGCAGGAAGAGGAATCCTACAGCAGGTCCTTGGAAATGTAGAAATCTTCCTCTTGCCAGCCTTAATATACTCTTATCCGGTTTATTCACATCTTTCTTTTCTGCCAAAATTGTGCTTCTGCTTAAATAGCGCTTCTCCCTTCTGTGTGCTCATCCGTGATGTATTTATAGGGAGTCCTCTCTCAGCATTCACTGCATGAGATAAAACAAGCCATCCTTTTTTTAGACTCCTTTCGTATAACAGACTTTCCACAATCTGAATCATCCTTGCAGCTCATCCCTTCACCTGCTCCTGTCTGGGCATGGGGAGCAGAACGAACAAGAGCAGCTATATATTCTCCTACCAGGGGTTTTTACAATGCCATTAATACTGCCTTGTTTCCTTACTGCTCTGTTGTACATTTATATACTCTCTGTATGTAGAATTCTTCAAGCATATAAATTATGTTACACAGTGAACTATCAAATACTGGTGTGTCATCTCCTCTGGGGCCACTTGTGCTCCTTAGGAGTGTGGTCAGCATCTTGCAGACAAAATCCTTCGGTGCTTTTCATCTGGTGCTTTTTCATCCTTGATAGCTCCTGCAGAGTGTTTCAGCATGAAGATGTTTCAGCAGTCATTACAAAAGCAAGTGAATCATTCAAGAAAAGCACAATCCATCCATCTTCTTTAGTGTCACCAATTAATAGCTGCTCAGGATGCTTTGCAACCTATAGTTGCTTAAGGAAAGAAAAATAACCACCCCCTTCCTATAGTGCTGTGCTGTCATTATATTTTGTGTATCCTGCCCAAGCAAGGAAGCTTTATTAAATCCATTTGGCAATATGCAAAAGGTTCTGATATGGGGCTTTAAAGAAGAGTGAAAAAACAGTATAAGAAGGGAACTAAAAACCAATTGGTAGACAAGATTATTTCTTATTATCAGAACCCATTTCTCTTTTCAGAAGCCAGTGGTCAGAGCCTGATTTGGTGGCCACACTTCAGGCTGCTGCTGCCCCTCCAAGCAAACAGTGCTGAGGCCACCAGTTTTCTCCACTTGATGGAGCTGGAACAGCCTTTTACTTCATGCTTCTGATTTGGAATATTTTGCTGTAGACTGTGCAAAATAGGGGACCATTTTTAAAAGGGAGCAGTGCTGCCTTTGTGGGCAGCTCAGGCTGGGTCTGTGTGCTCATTGCTCCAGTCACAAGCTGCTAGAGCAGAGTCGTTGCACCCTTTGGTGAAGCTCTGTCTTAGGCATTGTCAGAGCACCTGGAGAAAATCCAGACCCACATTTGCCAGACCTAAAGAAACATTCCCCAACCTGCCCACAGCTGCTGACTCCAGTCCCTCCTCCCATCCCACTTCCCTGTCAAAACACTTGGCATTTGCCACTGGCCACGCCCCAAGCAGGACAGCAATGCCACCTCTTGAGGGGAATAAACTCAATCCCAGCCCATGTGGCATAGTTGGAGCTCTGTGCCTAAGTGTGATGGAACCGGATGGAAGCAAATTAAAAAGAAAACTGTCCATTTTGCTGTCTCTTTAGGGTTTAGTCATAAAAACCTTACGTTGTGTTGCAAGCCTAAACAAGTGTGTTCACATGTAAAAATCAGCCATAAAGCTGCCTGGAGAGTACTTGACATGTCTAAGCTGTCATTTGTAAGGGCTGCCTCAAGCCTGGATCCTGCAGGTAGGAATGACCTTTCTGCTGTCCTCAAACCACCCTGCATAAGGGGGTCATCCCTGCTTCAAAATGGGAAAGAGGGACAACCCCAGGGATCCTTCACTGACAGTCATGTGGAGTGGATGTTTCTCCATCTGGCCTTGACAGGAGCTGGATCAGAGGCAAAGAGTACTTGTTGTATTAGAGCAGTGCCAAAGATGTTCAGAGGTTAAGAGAGTGTAAATCTAATAGGAGTATTTCCTGGTCTTGTCCTCAACCCCAGCTAGGCTACAATTTTTAAGGCAAAATAAATTTCCTTTAGGACACAGGAGTCATCATGTTTTTTTACAGTGGAAAAAAATTATGGGCTGTGTCATCTTGGCTGCCCCAAGGGAAAAATCAACATGGTTTAAATGGCAGCTCTCCCCAGTGTCTGTCCAGGATGAGATTTTCACTCACCCAAACTATGCAGAGTTCAGAGTTTCTGCTGAAACTGGGCTTGTGCAGAAGGTGTATCTGGGCAGCTCTCCCTGGGCAGGAGGAGAGGGCTGCTTTGGGTCCATGGGTTACTCCAGCTGGTGTCTCCTTGCAGGCGTCGGAGGTGGAGCGGCAGCTCTCCCTGCAGGTCCACACCCTCCGGGAGGACTTTCGGGAGAAGAATTCCTCCAGCAGCCAACACATCGTGCGGCTGGAGAGCCTCCAGGCCGAGGTGAGTCACCTGCCTCCCTCCTGCAGAGAGCAGCCAGGGCTGTTGGGGTTTGTGGAATGACCAAACACAGTCAGCCAGTGGAGCCAAGAGAGGAATGGCAGCACTGGGGCAACAACTCCCCCAGCAAGGATTGCTCCATGGTGTTCTGGCTGGGCTGGCTCAGGGACCTTCCCGTGCTGCCTCAGCCACAGCATTCCTGCAAAATGAATGGATGAGAAGGATCTTGCAGGAGCCAGACCATGGCTATGCTCCTGCAGGGCTGCTGCCCTGTACAGACTAAACTCTGGTAGGCAGGGTGGGAAGGTCTGCAGGGTTTTTTCCCTCTGTTCCTCATGTTTGCAAAGAAAGCAGCAATCCTCTCTTTCCTCTGAGCCATGCACTTGGGAAAGCAGGGAGCCCCTGCCTGGTTTAACTCAGGTACATTTGCAGGAATGAGACAACTCCCTTCCTTTCCCCTTCCCTGACAGGGTCACTGGGGATCACATAGGCAGAAACTAGATGGGTAGAAGATGTCCAGCTCTACTACCTGACCACTTCTTTTATTTAAAAGCTGTCTGGAAAAGCTTTTGCTAAAATCTCTTGATTTCTTTTCTCCCACTCCCACCTGCTCCTTGCTGGTCCCTCGCCTTTTCTTCCCCTCCCCTTGGTGTGGAGCAGCAAGTCCTTGAAGTAAGTATGGAGGCTTGGAAAGGCTTTGCCTGCAAGTACATCCTGTTACCATGCATGCCTGTCACCATGCATGCCACACCTTGTCTCCTCACCTGTCTCTTGCTTTCCAAACCCTTTCTCCCTATGCCTTTCCCATGGTCCAGGGCTCGTGGCAGATTGGTGTTTTTTATGTCGTATTGTTATTTACAGCATGTTCATTACTGGTCTGCCCACCAAATATGAAATCTTAATACAATCTCCCCATTAAACCGCTTATTTTTCTTTTTCCAACCCACGCAAATCATGATGGTGGTGGGCAGAGACATCTCAGAAGCCATTAGTCACCTCAGAGCAGCTTTCCAATACCTCCAGCAGCCTTTACTCTGCAGAAATAGCAAGTCCACGTACTTGGCTGGTATTCCTTTATGCAGCCAAACATTTCCAGCAACCTGGAAAGCAGCAAAGAGTCAAGGTCCCAAAGAGGCCAAGAAAGCAGTGGGAATTTGCTGAATTTGTCTACGCTCCATGAACTGAAAGGAGGCCATAGGGAATATTTAGGGTTATACTGGACTGGTGGATGGCTGGCATACCAGACCCCCAAGATCCTGTGTGTACTAATGTGGGAAAAAGCTCCTTCTTCTTGGTTAAACAAGAAGTGACCTTGGCTAGTGCTGATTCATCCCTTGCACTGTTCCCAGCTAACTGAGTCACGGAGGGTTTGTTTGGCAAACTGTCCCTCGCCTGAAATCACTGCCCTTGACAATTAAAAGAAATGAACCAATTTTAAAGGCAACCGATCACTGGGAGGCTAAAAATAAGCACGGCACAGAAAGGAGTCTTCACAAGTGAAAAGACAGAAAAATCCCTGGTGAGGGCCTGATGAACACACACCAATTAAGAACAGCAATGGGCAGTGCTGTGGCACAGCCCTACAGGGAGCAGGATCCCACAGGCTCACCCTGGATCCTGCTGGCTCAACCTGTGATCTCCAGCAGCCATACAGGAGAAAATGCCACTATCAGGACCAGCCAGGAAAAGCAACCAGTTTTTCCAGTCTTTCAAATGTTAAGGTTCAAGGGATGGGCAGGGGTGGTCTCCACTTAATACCCTTGAATATTCCTGCCTGCTCTCTGACCTGCCAGTGCACACCCAGCCCCTTTGGAGCAGGCCCTGCAGTTGGGGAAGGAGGATGGATTATTTCTTTTTAGAGATTTCCTTAGCTTTAAACCACACACAGAGGTAGTTTCTCTCATACAGGTACAGAACATCTGTGTACATCCTTCTGCTTTTTGCTGTTTCATTTCTCTCCTGGGAATGTGGTGTCTCTCCTCTCTGGTCCCTGCAAAGTCTGACAGGACCTCTCTTTGCCCTGCAGATCAAAATGCTGACAGACAGGAAGCGGGAGCTGGAGCATCGCCTCAGTGCCATGATGGAGGAGAACGACCTGCTCCAGGGAACCGTGGAGGAGCTGCAGGACCGAGTCCTCATCCTGGAGAGACAAAGCCATGACAAGGACCTGCAGGTGAGGAGGCAGCAGTGACACAGGGAGGGGATGGGGAGATGCAGTAGAAGTCATGATTTGGACTGAAATTTGCCATGAACTGAGAGACAGACCGAACTGGAATAATGAATTGGCTCATGCAAGAATGGCAGCAAGCAAGGAGCTGGGTGTTCCCCATGAAGACAGGTAACAGAAACATCAACGAGGCATCTTGACAGCAAAGAGCAGCTTAGGAGGGAGATCTGAGCAAGGAAGTGGGGCAGGGTACCGGGGAAATGAGGTAAATGCAAAAAGAATCAGAGGACTCTGGTTACAGTTCATTTTATTTAATTTTTTAAGAGTAGAATTGGCTTCAAAAGGGGCTTCTCTAGATCCTGCTGTTCCAGAGGGCAGTCACTGGCCTCTTAGATTCCAGTGCTCAGGTGGCTTCCCAACAATCTCCATGGTGTTCATGGCCATGAATCACCAAATGTCACTCCCCAGAAAACAAGCTTGGCACCTCTGGGGCTTAGGGCAGAGCTAGGTTTTTCCATTTCAGTTCTGTGGTTTACCAAGCACTGGATCCTCAGCTCTGCAAAACAACCCTCAATATTTTTTCCTAAAAGTATATTTGTATATTAAAAAAAAAATGCAAATAGCACTTTCTTTTTGGATCCACTTCCTGCTGTGTTGTTTTCAGCAAATTTCTTTACCTGAGTCCCAACTTCTTCACAATGTTCTCCATTTTAGTGCTGATTAATCTTCTATTTTTATCTTTCTGGGTATTCTGGATTCTAAACAGTGTCTGATGACACTTGGAGATTATTAAGCTGCAATAAACAGCAATACCAGCCAAGAGTACTTTCCTCCTGGCTGGAAACCCTGTTTTGTGTCACTCATTCCTCCCTCCCAGCTCCCTCACAAACCAAGAGATTGATCCCGTCCATATTGCCTCCATTAATATTTTTCTGATTCCTTGATTTTCTTCCCAAGCTGCACCAAAGCCAGCTGGAGCTCCAGGAGGTGAGGCTGTCCTACCGGCAGCTGCAGGGCAAGGTGGAGGAGCTCAGCGAGGAGAAAAGTCTCCAAAACCTCAACACAACCAGCACATCCCTGCTCTCTGAGATAGAGCAGAGCATGGAGGCAGAAGAGCTGGAGCAAGAACGAGAACAGGTATTTGCCCTCCAGCCTCTGGGAAAGCCCACGGGCCTCTGTGACCAGTCCCAGAGCAAAAGGGAATTTAATGCATTTGATCTGAATTTGGAGCTGAACCAAAGGCCAGAAAATTGGGATTGGGGTGTGGCATCAAAACCCTTTTGACCACATGAAAGTAAACTTCTGCATCCATTTCCAAATCAACGTGGCAAATACTTGTGAGGGCTGGCAATCACGCGCTTCACTTGGCCGCGGAGGGAGGCTCTCCATGGCCCTGACAGCCCAGGCTAACGGCAGGCTGTGTTGTTCCAGCTGAGGCTGCAGCTCTGGGAGGCGTACTGCCAGGTGCGGTACCTGTGCTCCCACCTGCGGGGCAACGACAGCGCCGACTCGGCCGTGTCCACCGACTCCTCCATGGACGAGTCCTCAGAAACCTCATCCGCCAAAGACGTGCCGGCCGGGAGCCTGCGCGCCGCCCTCAGCGAGCTCAAGAGACTCATACAGAACGTGCTGGACGGGGCAGACTCCACGGTGAGTTGTGGCACAGAGAGGCCTTGCCTTGGGCACATCCCCTGGCCCAGAGCTTGCTGGATCCTGAAGGCTCTGGTCTCTCTCTGTGGCTCACAGAGATGGGCAGGCACAGGGCACAGCCATCTCTTTGTGTCTCAAATGGTCAGCCAAGAGCCAAGTGTGTGGGGTTTCAGCCTGAAGTGCTCAGACCACCTAAAATTTCAAGCTCATACAACTGTCATAGGCCTGGGAGTCGTTCTGGAAAATTAATAAAAGTAGGCTTACTTTGAGATTTTCAGTAAGTTAGAGTTTCAACGTGGAAATATTGCAGATTGCCTTACACATCACAGTTTGGTTATTTCCTTTGGGATTTTCCTAACCTTGCTTTTTTAGCAGTAGTATCACAAAAACATCATAACCCCTATGTCGGGAGGTTATGTCCTGCAGAATTGGGTAGATTTGGTAGAAATGTCTTGGCAGGAGCTGCCGAACTCAAATCCATGGCAGGTTAAGGATTTTGCTAGCACAAGATGATGTCTGTAGGATGTGGTCCCCAGGCTGCTGGACAGGAGGGGATGGCATGGAGGGACCACTCAGCATCCATTTGTGCAGAATTACAACAAAACACCTCACTTTTTGTTGTGGCTCAAATCAGGCCTGGTCCCATTCCCTACAAGCTGGTTGCATTGCCATTAGGGCTTATTTGGGGTGCTGTGGTGAGGAAAACAGTGTAGCCCCTGCAGGGAGCTGTGAGGGAGTACTCAGCCTCCTCATTTAAGTACCCACAGGCTGAGTATAGAGATGAAGTTGTATTTGTTAAATAAATGTAGAGAGTCCCGTAAAAGGTCCACAAACAGAGAGTGTAGCCACATGGGGTACCAAATGGGCAGTAGGTCTCTGTAAATTTGGTTTATGCCAAGCTCTGCATGCTCTTTGCATCATGTGTGGAAGCACTACCCTTAGTTGAGCACCCTTGGTTGTGGAGGTATATGGAAACAAAAAACTCTACCAAAGTCACATTCACATTTTCATTTTCATTGTTTAGCACCCTCATCCCAAACTGGTACCAAATTAATACAATTGCCTTTTTTAAAGTGAAATCTGAGCAAGAGATTTCTCTCCCGCTCTCAGAGCTCTCGGCGAAGCGACGACGACACCTTAGAGGAACAGATCAGGAGAACCAGTGAGGATTCACGAGCCCTGAGGGAATTAATGGAGGGAGAACGGGGGAAACTGAGGCAGAGTTTGGAGGAGCTGCAGCGACTGCACAGCCAGGTTAGCAACTCCCACATTTTACATGTGGTCTTGTAACAGCAGTGTTCATCCTCCAAGACATGCCTTCCATCAAAGAGACCAACATAAATAACCCAGGAGGATTTAGGCCAAACTGGTTGGATGAGGGAGATTTGTTAAACCAAATGCAGAGCATTTAAGCATTCGGGATTAAAGTTTCTCACAAATTGTCTGGGGCCCATCTGAGGCATCATCTCAAGCAGCCTTTCTCCCAGTCTACTTTTTAGCCAGACTCTGTTAATTAAATTCTTCTTGGCAGAAGACCTCAAAGTATGAGGCTTCTTGATATGGGGTACTGGAAACTAGGAAGTGTCCAGGCTGACCTGAATTGCTGCACTGAGCCCTTGTGAGGGGTGTGTGCACCATTCCATGGATATAGAGGTGCTGCTCTGCTGTGCATGGAGCAGACCTTGACCTTTTCCACAGCAGCATCACAACACCCTCAGAAAAGCACTCCCAGACAATCCTAATTGTGGCCAGGCTGGCACCAAGCAGCACCCCAGGGACCAGCTGAGGCAACCTCAACAACAAGGAATGGTCCACCCCAACACCAACTCCATACCCAAAGCACAGAATCCCATTGCACCCCCACCCAGCACCGTCTGTGTCTGAGGCCCTGTGCCAAGAGCTGGAGATGGACACAAACATCCAAAGAGGTGCTTGTCAGTCCTTGTCTCTGTGGGACAAGAATCCAGATGCTGAAGGGATCTGGAGGCTGCAGCAGAAGCAGCAGCAGCTGCACTGGAGCAGGGAATGGGATTAATGTCCTTGGCTGGTCTTCCCAGCAGTGCTGTATCACCCTTTGGAGAGTAAATAGGAAAACACACCCCTGTTCAGAAAGTCAGCACAACCTGGGGTCTGACAGCCTTGTGTAGGGCTGTGGGAGCTCCCACCATGGCACCAAAGGGAAAAGAGTGAGAGCATCATTAAATACCCTGGCAGTGGTGGCTGCACTTGTGTGAGAGTGGGAAATGTCCTGCTTCCACAGCAGCTGATCAGGGCAGAGTGTGGGAGGGGAGCAGCCCTGGAGCCCATCCTTCCACTAGGACTGCTCCTCTCAGCAGTGTGCCACCACAAAAGACACCTTTGAAGGTCCAGCCTTCTGTCCCCAGTGAGACATAAGCGCAGACACTGCCCTGCCATGCTGCTGCAGTCCTGTACACCACGCACAAACTTCCCTTGCCTTAAACACACCTGAGATGGAAGAGACAAGGGCTCAACCTCTGCAACCTGGCAGTGCTGACAGAGACCTTTAGAGACTTATTCACAGATTTTAGGCTTGTCTGATCTCCCCAAACTCTCCAGCCAGGAGGGACCAGAAGACCAGCCCTGGACTGCAAGTCTAGAACCCTGGGTCTGCTTTTAGAGGTCCCCAGCTACCAAAGCTCTGAATATTTAGTAAGCAAAGGGGGGACTGCAGTTCTGTTTTCTTCTCACACCTCTGTGTGATGTGGAGAAAGATGGTGCATAGCTACAAATGCAGCAGCCATTACTCTCAGAGAGGAACTCCAGCCTCCCACAGCAAGTACATGTCTCCCACAGTTTTTTCCTGTTATCCAGCCTCACACTTGCTGCAGGTTAATAATTACTCTCACCACCTATTTAAGAGGCAACATTGTCTTCTGTTCAGTGCTACAGAAAATTGATGCATGTGGAAATCTGGTCCACCCGGGGGAAGCAGTGCTCTGCTGCCTCTTCATCCTTCTGTTCTGGCACTGGTATTGATACAATCAAAGGCGAGCTGCTTCTACATGGCTTTTAGGATCTTGTGGCATCACACACATTCATTGCTCCTGCCCAAGAGCACGGTGAGCAGGTGGAGACAGGAGCCATCCCCTTCTTTGTCTACACGGAGAAGCTATTTCACACCTTCTACCTGTTTGTTTCCTCCCATTCTTACCTGAAGCACAGACACAACCAATTAAAATCCCAAACACCATGTTTTGGGCCTCTGGATCCTCTGTCCCCTGGGATTTCTGTAGAAGTGCTCAGCACCTCTTACATCACCCCATCACCACTGCTCTCTGTCTCATCTTTGCTCTGAGGTGCTCCCCATGTAGGGCTGAGGGAGGGCACAGCTCCCCAGTTCCCTGGCAGCCCTGGCACAGCTCCCTGGTTCCCTGGCAGCCCCAGCACAGCCCCCCAGTCCCTGGGGAGTCTCTGCACAGACAGGGTGCATTCACACCCTCCTCCCCTGGCCCAGCCGTGCCTCACTAACAGCTGATCCTCCCACGCCCTGGATGTGATCAGCCCTTTTTGACTGTCTGCCCTCTATTTAAAGATTTCTTTGAAGATTCAAGCACTACTGAGCTGCATTTATAGGCAGGACGTGGGTCAAACACTGGAAGGGTTTCCAGGTGGTGGAGTAGTGTAACAGAGCATGTGTGTGCCCTAGACAAAGAAATTAAATGTGTATGAAATATTATGAAGCTGTGCTAATGCAATCCTTGCATGATTTCACACCCTATTAACTCACTCTGCACAGGACCAAAACGATAGATCATTTCTCAGACTATGAAAGACTCCAGACATATTTTAAAGTCTAATTAAAATTGTAAGATGTGCCAGTAACACCTTCCATGGCATGAAAGAGAATTTTCACATCCTTTGTCTACAGCTTCATATTACTTCAGAAGATGTAATGGTCCCTTCAAAAAATATTATTTGCTGGTAAATTATGTTAGCAATAGTTTAACCCTGGAAAGATCAGAATTATAACAGGCATACTCAGAGGATGTGTGCAAACTGCAAGACAGACTGCCTGGAGAGGGGCAGCATTTTAGCACTGATGCAGTAGTGTTAGCAAAGTCACAGGTGAGTCCTGCACTGCACAGCTTTCAGTGCTGTTTCTGCATGTTACTGAGGCCATCCTGGTGACACATCTTGCCCAGGTCAGCATCCCAGAGCACCTCAGTGCCTTTCACGGAGGGTGGCACCAGCACTAACAGCCCCACTCAGGAGACACAGCTTTTTCTGTGACCAGGGGAGCTCCCAGCCTGCAGGTTGGCCCGTGTGGCTTTTCCCCCACACACACATGTCCCGGGTTTGACCGCCTCGCTCTGCCCACAGGTGACGCTGCTGAGTGTGGAGATGACTTCGCTGAAGGAGGAGCGGGACCGGCTGCGCGGCGCTGCCGAGGACAAGGAGGCGAGCGAACGGCTCCTGCAGGCCATCAGGGACCGCGACGAGGCCATCGCCAAGTGAGTGGCACCAGCAGCCAGAGCCAGGCTGGGCGGCACTTGAGAAGTGCCATGGCCGGAGATGCCTCTGGAGTGGCTTTCTCCTGCTCTCCACAGCAGCTGTGACAGTGATGTCTTGGTTTTGGTGGCATTGGGAAGTGCTGCCAGGAGCCTGGGAGCAGGGCAGGAGATGCTAAAGGCAGAGCTGCCCCACGGCTGGACTGGGAGCATTTAGGAGCATTCTGTGAGCTGTGTTTGTGCCATCCCTAGTGCTGGTGTGAGTCACAGCAGGGAGGAGAGGACTTCAGGGAGCCAAATGGAAACACTGGGCCTGCCCTATTTGTCACATATTTCTTCCTTTGCTATTCCAGAGAAACAGCCCTGCTTTCCTAGCCATCCCCATTACAGCCTGCCTGGGCTTCTTCCCTAAGCCATTCCTCTGGTCACTCCCTCTCCTTTCCTGTTCCATGGTCTTTTTTGCATCTCCAGTCCTGTAAATCTCTGGTTCTCCTTTTGGGATTCTCCCACTGGTTTGGCTCTTTATTTTGCTCATCCTCCTTACAGATCTGTGCAGTTCTGCTCCCCCATACCCCAAATTCCCCTTCCTCAGCTCTGTCCTTGGGCTTGCCAAAATGCCCTGAGGAGAGGGACAGACACCTTTACCCCTCTAGAAAGGATTCATCTGATAATCCTTTCAACAAGCAGGTGGGCCAGGACACCACCAGTGCAGCGTCTTAGGGGAAAAGCCCTGGACAAGAGGAGGAGCAGGAGAGGGTTGCACCTCTGAGGGTGCAGGAGCTAAATCAGCCTGCACCATCCCTTTTTATGAGTGGCTCGATCGGCCGTGCTGCCCTTGCTGGGCTAGCTGGCTGCCAGACTGCCATGGCTGTCCTCTGTAGCACCTCCATCTGTTGGCAAGGAGAGGAGCATCCCAGCTGTGCCGGGCGTGTGACGTTCTGGTGCCTGTGGGCTGCTGGCTCTGCTGGCTCTGCCGTGGCTATGGCAACACTGCTGCTGCCATCAATCCTGGAAACACCCAACCAGCAGCGGGAAGCGTGGCAACAAAAGGCTGCTTCAGGTGCTCAAACCACAGCCTGCAGTGGAAGGGCACAGCTTCTCCAGTTCACTGTGACCCTGCTGGACAAAGCACCAATGTCTGGGGCTGGCTGTCCTGCAGTGCAGGAGCCGCGGGAATGGGGCACGGGAGAGGGGGATTGAGGAGCAGAGAGTGGCAGCAAGGGGAAGCAGACAAGAGCATCTTGTCACTGAAGTGAAAACATCCCTCCCAGACCGAGTGGGCTGGTTGCTGCCTGAGGAGGCTCGTGATTTTCTTCCCACCTCACACCCCAAGGGTTAAGTTGCTTTTGTTTAACCCATCCCCCCAAAAATCTCTAACTCTGAACAGAAATAAAATCACTGCCCGAGGCAGACATCTGGTGTGGAAAATTTTTGCTTGAAGCTGAAGTTTGGCAACATGGGAAGCAATAGGAAAATAGGATCCTTTCAGAGGAAGTGTTAAGCAACCAGTATCTGGAATCTAACACCTGGAAGTGTTAAGCAACCTGTACCTTGGAATATTTGTGTTTATATTCCAGTACCTGGAATATGAACACAAATTCCCAAATTGCTCTTCTGCAGGGGAGCACAAGGGAGCTATTATGAGACAAGGAATGAGCTACAGTAATAAGATGCAATTATTTCTCTCGAAAATGTTTGCAAGAAAAGATGGTTCCCAGCAAGTCATGTTACACTTACCTATCACACAGCAGTTAATTTGAAAACTTAAGCTTTGTGCTTACCTGTGTGCTCCCAGCATGATGAGCAGCATTTCCCAGCTTGGGCAGCTTAGGAAATTGCTCCATCTTAAAGGACCATTCCTTTCCACAAAGAGCAGCTGGAACATCTCAGCCACTGAGCATTTGGGGCTCTTTGGGTAACCTTGTCCATGGCATGACACGCTCAATGTCTACCAAATGTCTGGGAAGAAATGCAGCAGAAGTGTTCTCAAGGGCTGGGACAACACTGAAATTGGGAGCTTTCCTTAAAGCATAACAGTTAATTAAAATAATTCTGACAGTCTGTCACTCTTAAAAAGTATATGCTGTAATAAGCTCTCTTCTTTCATGTCTTCCTTCGATCCTTCCTTCAGTCAAGTCCCAAGTGAAAGCAGAATTGTACTCTTTAAGAGATTTTTATGTTTGTTTTATATTGCAATTTATTGATCGAGTAATCAGACACGAGTAAGTTGATTTTTAGCACATATCATTTGTTTTCTATGCATGTAAACTGTCATGGTTTGACACTGACCCAATGCCAGCGCCCCCATGAAAGTGTATTGCACCAGTGTCAAACCATGATGTAAACAGAAGAAAAAGAGAAAATATTTGAATATAGATTCTACCTTGTTCTAGATCTCCATTTTATTGGCAGATCTTGCACATTATCCAGGCACACTATTATCTTCCACAGCAGTGTATCTGATTTTCTTTCTGTATTCTTCACAGTGTGCATATCAGAAATCTGCTGCTTTTAAGGTAAAGATGTCAGAAGGTCTTTCCCACTCTTCAGATTAATAGATTGTTCAGAATACAACAGAGGTGAACAGTGAACACCTTTGGATGTGGGGACTTGCCAGTGAAAGACATAAATTGTAGACTTGTTTAGATATGCCTGACTCTTTGTTTAGAAAGAAAGAGGTGCCATGTGCGGATTTCTGTCCCCGCAGGAAGAACGCGGTGGAGGTGGAGCTGACCAAGTGCAAGATCGACATGATGTCCCTCAACAGCCAGCTCCTGGACGCCATCCAGCAGAAGGTGAACCTCTCACAGCAGCTGGAGGCCTGGCAGGTGAGCACCCAGCAGGGCAGGGGCTGAAGGACACATGACCCCAGGGGGACTGTCCCCCTGCCTGTGGGTGTGTCCTGTTCCCCGCCTGAGCATCCATGGATTGGGTGTTTGGGGGGAGCTGCCCTTCCCTGCTCCAACCCTTTTGGCTGTGAGCAGTTAATTCTACAGCTCTAAACTCATTTAAAATGAAGAAGCAGATTGTGCCTGCTGGCAGAATGGGAAATGTGCATGTTGCTCTGCCCCGGGGTGGGGAGGGGTCCGTGCAGGAGGTGTCCCTAGGCAGGCACACCTTGGGTACACGTGGGCACAGCATGTCTGTGCATTTCCATGATGGAGCAGAAAGGTGGGAGAACAAGGCTGTGCTGATTGTTGCTGCACTGTTTGTATAAACTCTGAAGATCTATCAAGAAGGAGAAGCTAAAGTTCCAGTTCTTCACCAAGGTGAAAAAACAAAGTCATGGCTGTTCCACAGCTGCCCGGGAGATGCTCTGCTTGGGGTCAGTGGGGAAAACCCTTGTGAGCAGACAAAGCTGCCTCCTCCCAAAACCAGCACCAAGGGAGGGCTACTTCAACAGAAAATAAAGTAGACTCAATGTCTGTGGCATTTATAGTGATTTATTGCAGACCATGCAAGCCCCCAGCTCTACTAAAAACCAGCCTGACCAGTAGAAACCTTTCCCGTACAACCTCACTCCTGTTTCAACTCCACTGTGTTTTCGTTTCTCTCTCTCTTTTTTTTTCCCCTTTTCTTTTCTTCTCTCTTTTCTTTTTCCTGCTTACAGTTTGCTTCCTCAGGGCTTTTTACTATCTGGCTCCTTTGGTTTCTGATCTAGTGGCCTTTCTCAGTTCCTGTACCAACAGCTTTAGTCGTACACCCCTCCTGCCTTTGAGGTGAGCTCCCCACACCCTCCATCCCCTCTCCATCTGCTGCCACCATCACCCACATCCTTCTCTGCCCTCACCATCATCTGGCAAGAGGGGCCAGTGGGGGTCTCCATCACCCACCAATATTCTGCCCACACCCCCATCCCAGCAGCAGCCAGGGGCAGCATCCTGCACCCCATGGTGAGGCTTCACCAGGGCACCACGGGCAAAGCCACCCTGAGGTGCACATATTATTAACCCTGTCTATCCACATATTTAGTATCTGGAAAGGTTCTTGAAAGACAGACTGGGATTTTACTTCTCAGCCTCATTGTCCAAGTGACACTGCTCTGCATAGGAGCTGTCTGGATACAGCTTCAGTCTGGCAGTCTGGATGGGTGCTGTAAAGTTAGGCCTGCTTAGTGCTAGAATAAACCCAGCTTAGGGGTTAAGAACAGGTCCTGTTGCAGTAGCACAGCAACCTCAGACCTGCTCCCATCAGCTCTCTGAGCCCGAGGCTCAGGCCCACTTCATGGCAGGAAGTTGTTTCCAACATACTGACCTGAGGTGTTACCACACAGCAGCAAAGTAGTTTCCAGCCACCTCATGTTCCCTCAACAGCAGCTCAGCCACAGAGGCACAAAACAAGTGGGATGATTTTGTATTTTGGGGACTATTTTGCAAAGGAGTTAGCAGAAAAGTTTCTGATAAAATAGGATAAAAGTCTCTGCTTTAGCTGGGCATAATTGGATGCTTTAATCTGCTAACATTTTGGTTTTGCACACTTCTCGTCTGCATTTCACCAAGGGCTGTCAACAAGATGACAGTGTTCTCTAAGGACATAGTCATACAGGCTGTAAAATAGGATTCAAGCAAAAAATCCTCCCCATCCAAGTGCTTTGCTCTCTGACTCACACATCTGACAGACAGGGACCCAGTGCAGTGCACTCTCAATAGTGCATACTCTATTTTTATATATATATATATATGATATTTTTTGTGTGTAGAGATATATATATATAAATATACACAGAAGTCATTCTCATCCCTTGTTGTGTGGTCAGTCAAGGACACAGATCTGCCATGCAGGAGCCTGGGTACCTACTTCATTTAGCAGAAGAGGTGCCTTCAAAATCCAAGTGCTGTACATTTTCACATGGCAGCTTCAGCTCTGAAAACCTGTCTCACTGATATTTCATACTGATGTTCACCTCAACCTCTTCAACTCTCCCTCTGCCTTTCCTCTCTTCAGCCCTGCTCTAAAAAGACCCAGGGCTTCCCCTGTCTGTGTAGCTCTGCACCCTCCTGCTCCCACAGGGGAAGCCCCCATACTAAATTCAGGTCCAGGTCATGGCTATCAATCCTTTTCCCTGCAGGAAATGCTGCAACAAGAGATTAGCCATTATTAAGTTTCCAGTCCCAGCTGGCTGATTGATTCCAATCCAGAGCAGCAGGGGCACCTGCTGGGCAATGGCAGCACCTTCCCTTCAGTCCTGGCGTTGCCCTGGCAGGCTGCCCCTCACCAGGTGCTGAATAAACACCACTCCCACCACTGCAGCCCATCCTGAGTATCTTTGCTCTCACCAGACAGTGTCCTCAGCCCTAGTCAGGGACCAGACTGCTGGGGAGTAGTTGATTCCTCCTGTGGGACTAGTTTGTGTACACACATTTTCACTAAGCTGTAGCTTAAATATGCAATTATAGGAGAAGCAATGGATCTGAAAGTTTAAAATCTGTAAAATTTATAGGCAGGTTTTCAAGGAACATGTTAGCACATCATTAGTGGCAGCAGAACTGGGTAATTGTTTTGTATACAGCAGCTTCACTGTGGTGCAAACATGGACGAAATCAGAGCATTCCTGGTACATCTGAAAAGCCACAGTTCATGCTGAGCTGCCAGAGTTCCCACTGCTATGCTGGCTCTAGGGAAGGAGGGGGTCTAAGGGACAAGCTCAGTTCTGTTTGGTGAGTCTGGTGCAAAGGCCAGGAGGGATCTGGTGGGCCCACACCTGCCCCAGCTCCTCGGCACCTTCCCCAAAGAAGCCCCAGTGGCAGTGGCCATGCAGCAGCTCTGCCACCCCTGCCTGTCCACTTGCTGTGCACACAGACCTGCTCAGCACAGACCTCCATCCTTCTTCTGGCCTCTGCTTTCAGCTGCATTTGTTCTTATTTATTTCTCCCCAAAGGGGACATCTGCAGGCTGCAGACAGCAGAGAAGCACAGCTTAGGGGTGGCACAGAGTCCCAAGCAGGCACAGAGCTCCTGTGCGAGACCACCTGAGCAATTCATCCCTCAGAACCGTGTGATTGATCTTCCTGACTCCCTGAAAAGCCCCAGGGCAGCGGGCAGAGCTGAGCCTGCTGTGGGGTGGGGACGCAGACCCCGCTCCCTGATCCCTGCTCCATCTCATCACCGCACATTCCATGCCCATTGCATCCACCCCCGCGAGCTCCCGTTGGGCATCAGCTGCCACTAACGGCCCTGTCCTCTCCCTCTGCTGCAGGATGACATGCACAGGGTCATTGACCAGCAGCTGATGGACAAACACCCGAAGGAATGGAGCCAGCTTGCTTATTCCTTCTCCAGCGGCACCAAGCGGAGTGCCAGGCCCTCCCCCGCGCCCAGGCCGGAGCAGCAGGGGGACGAGCCCGGGGCCGAAGGAAACCGTCTCTTCTCCTTTTTCAAGAAAAATTAATTGGAAAAAGAGAAAACTCTCCAACAATTCCTGCTTCAAGATGGGGAGTGGGGCAGCTGCCAGCTTGCTGATGGACCCAAGTCTGATCCACTGAGTAAAAAAGAAGGGGGCAAAGGAGTTAACCCTTGAGACTCTGCACTATTTACACCGCACCTGGTCTGAACCAAATGTTTACATGAATTGGAGATTTGCAGACTGACAATGTGAATCTAGTAGAAAGAAACTTTTCTTATTCTATACGTGAAGTGATAAACTTCAGGGTATATTTTAGGAGCTTTGACACAGTCCAGTTTCTGCTGTGAAGAATTCTCTGATTGTCTTAAAAGCATTCTTATGCTGGAGAAGGAAATAAGCAGCCCCAAGACAGAGCGGTGCAGGGGATTGAGAACTTCTGTCACAGTGAGCAGAAGGGGAAGAAGAGAGCTGAATGCAAGAGGACAGAAGGGAGTCATTTGTATCACCCTGGCAGCTGTGACATCCTTCATCCATCCCACTGAGACTGGAGTCACTCTGGCCCCAGCAATACCATGTTTTGACAAATGTAGCTTTCTCCGTGGTGGAAGCTGAGCCCTCACTGCAGCTCCTGCCTGGGCACCATCTCCCCTGGAGCTCTGCGTGGCCTTTCACCCTCGCTGGGATCCAGGCTCCTCGAGCTCAGGGCAGGGGACAGATAGGTGGTGTCACTGTCCTCTCCAGCTCCCTCCTGTTACAGAGGTAAGAGTTGCAGGCTGTAGCTACACAGATTTCTCCCCAGGAGACTGACCATCTACAACAGATTATAGCCTGGATAAAAGTTGTGCATGTTCAGTCCTGGGGCACCTGCTGTTTCTCCAATGGCCAAAAGTAGTTTGGGAGCTTCAGCAAGTCACACACCTTTCCCCAAAGCCATACACATCTCCCAGAGTAAGAAAACTGTCGTTTTAACTGGATAGGCCCCCAAAAGCCTAACTAATAATTCACTGAAAGCCTACTCCCAACGATGTCAGTCAGTCTTTGACACTGGGTTGGCAGACTCCATCCTCAGAAAGCACACTGGCATCTGCCTTCACTGAAGCCAAAGGCTATCAGGGTGTCTACAAAGCTCTGGAAAGCCTGCAGGTTACTCTGCCCTATGCAGTAACACTGGCTATGGCCTGACAGAAAGGAGTATCTGTCCCTGCCTGTGGGTCAGTTGCTACTCAGCCCTTTGGTTAGCAGCTCCAGAAAGGTCCTTTAGATCAAAGATAACCAGAGCTGCTTTGCATGACTTGATCAACAAGAAGGAACGTGGCTTTTCTGGTGTATGCACACAGCAGTGCTGGAAATCCTGCAATACTCAAGTAGGGACCTGCCCTCTGCACTGGATGGACACTTTACCATCATAAGCCAGTGAGGAGCACCAGGCTCAGTTCAGAGATGTCCTGCTGCTGTCATGCAATTTTCACACATTCTCCCACCTCATGATACCCACAGGCAGGCCCCAGTTTGTTTCCTGCTGCTTTCAACAGGCCACCACCTACACTGTCCCACAGCAGACAGAGCTGGCTGCACCTTCAGCTCTGCCCTGCTCAGCAACTTCGGTGCTAACACACCATCCCACAGGGAGCTGCTCTCTGCTCACTACTCACAGGAACAAGCTTTCTGCTAGAACAGGTACCAAACACCTTCTAAGCAGCAGGTAAGAGGCTGGTGGCTTGGGTTTTAGTGTTTTTCAGCTTCCCTGTGGGATAGAACATCCATAATACCTCAGTACAAATACTCTTTCCACCTATGGAGATTTGAGCATTCCTGTATTTCCTTGTTACATTCCTGTATTTCCTTGAAACCACCACACTGGTATGAAATCATCTTGCACTAAGGCAGCTCTGAGCTGCAAGGAGCAGAGTGCTCTGAGATTGGCAGTGATAGTCAAGAGCTGAGTGGTAAAACCCATCTACATGAAAGCAATGAACCCTGGATTGCAGAGCTTCCCAAATACTCTTTCCACCTATGGAGATTTGAGCATTCCTTGTTGTATTTCCTTGTTACATTCCTGTATTTCCTTGAAACCACCACACTGGTATGAAATCATCTTGCACTAAGGCAGCTCTGAGCTGCAAGGAGCAGAGTGCTCTGAGATTGGCAGTGATAGTCAAGAGCTGAGTGGTAAAACCCATCTACATGAAAGCAATGAACTCTGGATTGCAGAGCTTCCAGGAAATACTTGGGCAAAGTCCCACCAATACAGCTTGATGCTTTTGGGGAAAGGCATCAGGAGCCTCACAGGCAGGGAAGGAAACTGAACCTTGGCCTCTCCTTTCAAGGCAATGCTCAGCTGTTGAGTATCTGCCTGTAGCCACTTGTGCAAGCAAGGGAAGGGCTGCAGTGCAGTGCCACATGCTCTCAGCCCTCATCCTCCCATCCTGCCTCTACTGTGACTCTGGACAGGGCAGGGACACTGCTCAGCATCTCCTGCTGCCAGGACTCAGTCACACCCACATGCATCACCCCAGCCTTGGATTCCTGCAAAATGAGGCGTGGCTGCCAGTGACTCCTGTGACACCGGTGACACAGTGACACAGTGACACCCGTGACACAGTGACACCGGTGACACCGTGACACCCGTGACACAGTGACACCCGTGACACCGGTGAGCACCGAGAACGATGCTCTGTCACAGGAGAGCCACGTGAACATCTCGGTCCTCAGGGACCTTTCTTCTGCTGCCAGTTGTCATTTGCCAGACCCGACCAACTCTCCTCAAGCCACATGCCCAGCAGCTGTGTGGGACTCTACCCCAGCGAGGATGGATGGATGGATGGATGGATGGATGGATGGATGGATGGATGGATGCAATCCTAAGGCACGGGCCTTAAGCTACCCCATGAAGATGCAGTAAGGAGATGAAGAAAGGTGCCTTCTGCTACGTTTGCTGAGGAAAGTGACTCAGTTGCAGGGGTAGGCACAGCACATCTCTTCATTTAATGAGAATCCTTAATCCCATTGCAATTTTATTTATTTAACAAGAGTGACAGAAGAGATTGCAAGAGGAAAGTCTGCATGTTCTAAGGTGCCAGTTGGGTATGGTTTCTTCAAACAAGCCCCTTTACCCTAAAGACTTAGTTGCACTACTAAACCCAGAGACACAAGAGAACTGGGTGTAATGAACTGGACAACACACCAAAGGAGACCTCCTTGTGCTGAGCTGCTACTCCCCAGGAACAGAAACTGCCTTAACACAGCAGCTAGGTTTTGTCTTCTGTCTTGAAAAACCTCACCTGTGCAGTCCTTCACACCCATTTGTCACATTGTGTTTTAACAAGGTCCCAACTGCTTCACTCTGTGCTGTCATTAACACACTCACCTCCATCCTGTCACGGCCAGGAGCCTGGAATCAGCCTTGCAGTGCTGGATGGAAGACACTTCACTTGTGGCACTCGACTCTTCCAGGACACACCCAGGGTGTAAAGGAAACATCAGCTCCAGGAGATGAGATGGAGGAAGCACATTAATCCAGCAGGTACTCAGGATCCCAAAGGAGATTTAATGAGTGGGATCAGCAGCTCTAAACACAACCCTCAGCCTTGGTTTTGAGATAATGGTAAATAAAACAGTAGTGCTGCACAGTCACTGTTCAAATATTGCACAGAGAAGAGATGCCTGCTGAGATTAAGGTTACAAAGGACTTTCCCACAGGTAACAGGTGACTGGGCAAATGTTTGTTATGCCAGCCTGAGGGAAAAGTGATCAGTCTCCCCTTCCTAAACTCTGCAAGGGAAGCAACTATGAACAAGGAACAAATGTAAATGAAAGGCAAGTCACTAGCACTTTATCTTAATACAAGCTTGGATCAGCAACTTGCTGTGGAGATGAACAGTAAATCAAAAAGTTACTGACAAGAGAGTGATTTTGCAGAGAGGGCAGGAAGTGAGGCTGCAGGCAGGGCCACATGCACTTGTCCTACTTAGAATGGTAGATTCCAGCTATGCCTCTCCATCAGGCAAACTCTCTCCTCCCCACTCGGCTATAAAAAGCAAGAATGTTTGAACCAAAAAGCCAAGAAAGGAAGTGTCTGGGTGCTGCAGCAATGATTCCCTTGGATTGAGAGGGAAAAAGCACACAGCAGGGACAAGCAGAAAGAATGTACCTATAGATATGTACATATACCACAGTGCTGTAATTTTTGTATGTAGCAGTCATGTAAATAAATGTATGGTTTTTATAAGATACATATTATAAAAATCTATAAAGGCATATTTTTAGTAAAAACAATGCTCTACTTCTTTTGTAAATAGTTCTCTTCAGAATAAAACATCATTTATACGATACTGTCTCAGCTCTCACCACTTTACTGTGCCCAGCTGCAAAACAAGCTCATTTTTTGAATTGTCATTTAACACCCAACAGCATCTTTGGTGCTGCATCATCCCATGAAATTCAGCCCCTGTGTGTGCTTAGGGGAGAAGGGGCCAGGGCAAAAACATTTGAAACATTTGCATCTCTTGGTGCACAGGAACTCCTAAAGGTGGGTAAATCACCCCACCTTCCAGCCATTTGTGTCCTTTACTGGCCCTGGTGTGGAGGCACTCACACTGGAAGGGGCTTAGGCAGCAAGCACAGACAGTGACACAGCCACCGCCCGCAGCAGCCCAGACCCCTCCTGCTGCTCCTCCCGCACTTCCCAGAGCAGGGTTCCATCACTGCCCCAGGAGCAGCCTGGGCAGGGCAAGGGGATGCTGAGGGCACGGCCACGGCTGCAGTCCTGCACAGATTAATTAAACACACAGTAATGTGCTGGGAAAGTGAGGAGAGACTCCAGATGCTTTTAGTCACCTCGGGAGGAGGAGCTTTCAAAGCTTTTCAATACGTTTTGTTGAGCAGAAAGACAAAGGATTACAGCACAATCACAGGCATCTCACTTCACACAGAAATAAGTTACCCATTCCACCTTCCTCTTTCATTCAAACTAAAACAGCAACTAAACATTTGAAAGCATTACTTATGGTTTTTTAATATCCCCTCTCAGGAAATCACCCTTTACA